TATTCGCGAAAAAAAAGTTAACTGAGGTTCTACAAGTGCTGATTTTAGTGGTGGATTTACCTCTTCTTTTATTTTTATTTGTTTTGATTATAGTGGGTGACCTTAAACGGCTGGAGCAAAATGCAAGAGATGGGCCATCTGATACTTACCAACTGGCGAAATGGCGTATTCTTAACAGACTGCATGACAGAAACGAAACGATGTACTACAAGGTGTGCAACTCCACATCTCACACATTCTTTTAGGCGCAAACATATTTCTGTTGATGATGTTTCTCTCATTATATGGTTGTGCAACCACTTTGTTAACTCTATTGTATTGCAGTCTCAGACGCAGGCTCCTTTTCAAAGTGGTTACCTTATTTAACCTTATTTTGATTCTTCAATAGGTCTTAATAGATAATATTAAGGAGTATGCACCTATTGTTTACACACCGACTGTTGGCGCTGTTTGCCAAAATTACAGTGGCTTGTTTAGACGGCCTCGGGGAATGTATTTTAGTGCAGAGGATCGTGGTGAAATGATGTCCATGGTGTACAACTGGCCAGCTGATCAGGTATGCATTTGTTCTTGTCCATTTACTGATTTGGTCTTCTGTAGTTCAACTCTTTCAGTGTCTTAAAGTTATAAAGCTCTTTTGCTAAGAGGCTAAGATATATCTCTTGCCTTTTGAAGATCTCCTAGGGCTGGGAGAGCATCTTCTGACGACAAGTTTCTTATATTGCAAATAAACATAAGTGGCTAATCTTTCGCAGGTCGACATGATAGTGGTGACTGATGGAAGCAGGATACTGGGCCTTGGTGATCTAGGGGTGCAAGGTATTGGCATTGCTATAGGGAAGCTGGATTTATATGTCGCTGCTGCTGGAATAAATCCCCAGAGGGTATGCTTTTGTTATTCCTTAGGAAACTGTTAGACTTACCTTGTTCTCTATCTTCCATTTTTTACATCTATATTTTCATATTTGATATCTCCAATTTCAAATAACTGTAGTTTGATATTTGAGATACACGGATTTTATTCACAAAAAAATAACGTTTTGCTACTTAATCTGATTGTGCCAATCAGCCTCTTCTCATAATAATTCAGGGAAATAAATTTCTTTTAGAATACTACCAGTTTGGCTTGCTTTTGTACTGAACCAAGATAAATGATGTTTATCAAACTGAAGCTTCAAATAAGAGTCTTGATGACCGCGTTTGTGTTGCATGACCTTACAACTGCAGCGCTGGTCGCTCAGATATTATGAAGTTTCAAAGTGTTCTACTGCTATCTATTTCCTATTCACTCCGTTCCTTTTGTAAGACATATTTTGATTTGTTCAGATAATGCTTTGAATAATAAGTACTCTATTAATAGGTGGTGCATGTGAATATGTGATACAAATCACAATCATAAGCAATTACGTTTGAATTAGAATCTGATGACACCTTATGCTATATAAATTGCATACTGGTAGAGTAATTGATGGTGAAAGCCTTGTCTCAAAATACACTCTACCAAAAGCAACAGAGGGAGTATTATATTCTGTTGGTATAGTTTATATTTATATGTTCCGTTGTTTAATATTCTTGTAGGTTCTTCCAGTTATGATTGATGTGGGAACTAACAATGAGAAACTCCTCAAGGATCCTCTTTGTAAGTTGTTCTTTGAACATTTTGTTAGTTGCGCATATTTTTCTCTAAAACATTTGACCACCCTTATTCTCTAAAAGGAAAATAAATAAATAGATGTAGACATCAGAGTGACCTACTCACTCATTATAGCTGTATTTTAGATTGATTCAGATTCCAGGAAAAATGCATATGTGTGGTGTTGTAATCTTTACTTGCTCGTGAGAATCAATGACCTTTTCTGTTCTTTGTTACTCTCAAGCATTATTCTTGAATTTCTTTAGAATATGATGCAGGCAATTGCACCTTTTCACTAGATAGTGAACAAGAGATCGAGTAGTCTTTTCTGCTATTGTTTTTCTAAATTTTGTGCTGTACAGATCTTGGCCTGCAAGAACACCGTCTTGAGGGAGAAGATTATGTTGAAATTATTGATGAATTCATGGAAGCTGTTTTTTCTCGTTGGCCCAATGTGATTGTACAGGTGCTATTTTGGTGTTTGGTGCTTGCTCAACTTTTTTCTGCATGTGGCTTTAGCTGGAACATTTTCAAAATTACTTTCTTTATGTCCTCTAGTTTGAAGATTTCCAAAGCAAGTGGGCCTTCAGGTTGTTGCAGCGTTACAGGAAGACTTATCGTATGTTTAATGATGATGTGCAGGTAACTAGTTTGACTTATGCCAGTTATGTTTTTCCATTATGCGTTGTCTTGTGCTATGATATCTACATGTTCCTTCTGGCACACCAACACTTTTCATGGCTAAGAACGTTTTGTATCCTTCTCGTTCATAGTCATTGTTAACTTCTGTACTTAATAGATTTTTTCTGTTACAGATGTTGATTACAGTAATCCCTCCATTCATCATTTTTTCAGACAAATGAGGGCAAGAGTTATTAATTCTACATGCATGCCTTACATTTTCGTAAAAGATTCCGAAAAATATAGCCCTTACATTTTCTCTCCTATTCCCAAGATTAACGTGTCTACCACGGTCACGTCCTATACTATTTAATGGCTCCTTAATCCTTGTGCTATACCGAAATACACTATGAAATGAAATGGAGGAAGTACCGTCTATGCTCATGGAAAATATGCCAGCTTTGCCTTTCAGTAATACCAGTTCAATTATACTTGTAAATATTTATCAATATATCTTATGTTCAATTACTTTCAGACTTACAGTCAAAATCAAGTCTGTTAATCTGAGGTTTTGACATCTCAGCATTTATATTTGAGAATGTGCAGTCTAGCTTCCCTAGTTGGAAGGTCCTTTTCAGGAAGATATCACTCTTATTTCCCTTAGAATGCCTGCCCACAAAAGGCAACCTCTAGTTGATTGGATTAGTCCTTTGTTGTAAATATTGGGGATCTCCCCCCCCCCCCTCTCATGTACACATGTTTGTTTCCTTCCTGATATAATATTAAAAATACTGTGGGGGCATCCCACGGTCTCTTAGATAAAAAAAGATGCAGAAACTTTTTTTCTTCTATTTATTGCATATTTACTTCATTAACAATTGAAATAGTACTTCCTCTGTTTGTTTTTATAAGGTCTATGGTTTTTCGTATCCACTGTCAGAAATTAATGCATGCACATGATTTTTTTCAGAAGGTTTATTGCTATTTTTCCTTTCTTGGCGTCGTTTATCACATCTTCCCACCTTTATAAGAATAGAACTACAAACTGTTCGCTCCTCCATATCCAAGATATTTAAATAAGAATAACATAGTCATTTCTTTTGATATTTTTGTTGGCTTATATACTTAATCCTTTTCACTCACAATGTGCAATATATTTGAAAATTCCTGGAGTAAAATTATCACACTTGAGATGACTATTATTTATGTACAAAGGGAACTGCTGGCGTTGCAATAGCTGGTCTTCTTGGAGCTGTAAGAGCACAAGGAAGGCCAATGATAGACTTTCCAAAGCAAAAGATTGTTGTAGCAGGTGCTGGCAGGTTCGGATCATGTCCAATGTTTCAGAACTTATTACAAAACTAGAGTATAACTCTTTCATGATTAATGACTGAATTGATTCTATGTACTAACTGTGATGTTACTGAAACTTGATTACATCAATAAAGATCAAAAAATTATCATAACCTTTGATCAAGTACATTTCAGAAGTATGACGTTAATTACATTTCACCTTTTGCAGT